GCAACAATCTTACCACCCTACGAAGAAAAATTCGAACCAGTTGATAATCTTCATTGGTCTCCAGAAACAGCAAACAGCATCTATTTGTTTTGGATACACCAGCTTCAAGCATCGAGTAAGTCTTTAAACTAATTACTGGGGATAAAAATACTGAGAGGCCACCGCTAGGCCAAACTATAGTTAACTTGAGCCGCAAAATTCTCACACCCCTTCAGCATTCAATCTTAGACCGTGGACTTAAGTTTATTCCCACACCAAAGATAGCTAACTTGAATTATCTCCGACCATCCATTGAACGATTTCAACGAAATCTTAGCTGCACATTTTTTTTTTCGAAACCACCCCCCACGTGGTGCTCTAAATCCACGTGGACACCCCCTCAGGCCGCCATCCATCCTGAAATATTGAAAGCATTTGCGAGTATGAATATCCAAACAGTGAACCTTTCTATAACACACGAAAAGCCTAATCTCACACGAGTGGAACGTGAAGCGTTAAACTTACTTAAGAAAGACGATAGCATTGTTATTAAAAAGAGTGACAAAGGTTCATGTTGTGTCATTCTGAATAGGGAGGATTACGTTTCAGAAGCAGAGAATCAACTGAATAATCCTAAACATTATGCCATTTTACCAAAACCAATTTTCAAAGAAACTGCTAACATGATTAATAATATTCTCTGCCGATTTAGTCAAAACTAGTTATCTCAAACAGAAACAATATGACTATCTGTCTGCCATACCTGATTGTCGCGAGAGACATTTGTACACTTTGCCTAAAATCCATAAGAATCCAACCAAGGAGTGGTTTATCTCGAATAAAATCCCTAAAGGCCGCCCGATTATATCTGACTGTGGTAGTGAGTCATATGCAGTGTCAGAATACATTGATCATTTCTTACTACCTCTAGCATGCCAACATCGCGCCTACCTTAAAGACACAACCGATTTTGTCAATAAAATAAAAATTCTTCGAGTTCCCTCTAATGCTATTTTAATTTCTATCGACATTTCTTCTATGTATACCAATATCGATAACACTACTGGCAGTTCATAAAGCTTTTAATAGAAACCCAGATCCAAACAGACCCGACGATGCAATTCTACAGCTTTTAGAGATTTGTCTTAGTCGAAACGATTTCACATTTAATGGTAAAATATATTTACAAACTTCAGGGACAGCAATGGGCAAACGATTCGCCCCTTCGTACGCAAACCTTTTCATGGCATAGTGGGAACGTGAGGTGTTGCCCCTCTGTCCATTTGACCCACTTTTTTACGGACGCTTTTTGGATGACGTTTTTATGGTTGGGACTTATTCTATCGAACAGTTATGGGAATCTTTGAAATTCTCAACAACCACCATCCTTCTATCAAACTAACCGCAAACGTGAGTGACAAAAGCATAGACTTTCTCGATACCACAGTCTTTAAGGGAGATTCCATAGCAGAAACAAATAAACTGGATATTAAAGTGTATTTCAAAGAAACTGATACTCATCCACTCTTGCACAAGAGCTCCTTTCACCCAAAACATACCTTTTCTGGTATAATTAAGTCACAAGTTTTACGATTTCATCGAATTTGTACAAGATCTTCTGATTTCAACCAAGCCTGTACGATTGTTTTCTCAAAACTGAAAAAGCGTGGGTTCTCTAAACGATTTTTACGAAACATAAAAAATTCCACCTTAGCACAGATAGCAGCTGAAACAGACTTTATGCCGAAGTACCTCCAGGTTTAAGAAGTGCTCCATGTTTGTCAGGTAGATGCAAAACATGTCCCTTTATATCAGAAACTCATTATTTTGTAAGCAACTCTACGAATAAAAGGTACCCGATCCAGGAACATCTAACATGCAAACATTCGAATGTAATATATTTAATTTCATGCAAGAAATGCCCCAAGCAATATGTAGGAGAAACTAAGAATAATTTACGAAATCGCTTTAATGCTCATAGGTCAGACATCAAATTAAAGAAAGACAAGCCTGTTTCTAATCATTTTAACCTCGACGACCATTCAATAGACGATCTCGCCCTAATCCCGTATAGAAATTGACTTGCCCGAAGCTGAAACTACCAAATTCCGTCAATCTAGGGAGGCCCATTGGATTGAGACATTGAATACAACAAGACCTATAGGACTAAATATTCATCATAATGTAGGCATAGCACCCTTTGTTGTCCCGTTTAATACAACCAGCAATCGAGCAAGCAAGATAGTTCATGCCCACTATAAGAGCCTTCAAGAGAAATTCCCCCATGTCTATAAGCAGAAAATGATAGTTGCATATTCAAAAAATAAGAACTTAAATGATAATATTGTTCATAGTAAACTAAAAACAATCAGTATATAACAGATACTATACTTCTAAATAAAGTGTCTGCTCCACCCTAGGCCTGTACATTTAGGAGAATCAAACCCTCCCTTCCCCGAAATCAAAAACCGTTCATCGAAAATGCGTCAAGTTAGAACTTGTCCGAGATCTTATGAATTCCAAAGATCACACCAAGTTTCATCAGAATTGGATGAAAACTGTAGCTTCAATCCTGCTCACGAACAATTTTTAACAAATTTCAAGGCGTTCTAAGTCAAGGGCAATAACTCAAACACCGTTCATCGAAAATACGTCAAATTTGAACTTGACCGAGATCTTATCAATCTAAAGCATCACACCAAGTTTTATCAAAATCAGATAAAAACTGTAGTCTCTATAGTGCTCACAAGAAATGTTGACGGACGGACCGACGGACAGAGGCGACGACAATATACGACCACATATTCATGTGGGCGTATAAAAATCCATACACCCGAACATCTTCACAAGATCAGACATTAGTGTTAAAGGGTTGTTTATTTCCACCATTTTTTTATTTATTGAATCATAATAATAAATTATCATATTTCTTTCTTTTGAGTATGACAATGTTATATTGATATATAAGGTTAGTTGTGTATATATAAATGTATTTATTTCAGTTAATAAATGGAATTTTTTTTTCACTTGAACTAAGCAGACTTAAGTTTTTATTCTCAATGGTTTCTATATTCAAGCATAATTTTGTGTTCAAAAGTCACTTGTGAACACATTCACAGACTGAATGATATGTGTGCTGATTGATATATAATATAATAAATACCTGAAGCTGGTGTAGCCAAAACAAATAAATACTGTTTTCTGTTTCTGGAGACCAATGAAGATTATCAACTGGTTCGAATTCTTCTTCGTAGGGTGGTAAGATTGTTGCGCTGTTGATATTGGACTCCATCATCATGCTGAGGGTTCTGTTGTGCTTTCTTCGAGATTTTATTAGAGATGGGTATACATGTGAAGAGGATCTTGGAGTTTGGGAAGGTTTTGTTGGCTGTGGCGATTAATGTCTGGGCTTGGTTAAAGGATGTCTTTGGTAGGGTAGGGGGGAGGTCTGGATACACGTCTCGACTTGGATGGAGTTCAGCACCCTCAACAACATGATGATGGAGTCCCGTACCAACAGCGCAACAGTCTTATCACCCTACCAAGAAGAATCAAGTTGATAATCTTCATTGGTCTCCAGAAACAGCAAACAGCATAATCTGTTTTGGATACACTAGCTTCAAGAATCGAGTGAGTCTTTAAACTAATAACTGGGGATAAAAATACTGAGAGGCCACCGCTAGGCCAAACTGTAGTTAACTTGAGCCACAAAATTCTCACACCCCGTCAGCATTCAATCTTAGACCGTGGACTTAAGTTTATTCCCACACCAAAGATAGCTAACTTGAATTATCTCGGTCCATCCATTGAACGATTTCAACGAAATCTTAGCTGCACATATTTTTTTCGAAACCACCCCCCGGTGGTGCTAGAACAATGCTTATTCCTAAATCCACGTGGACACCCCCTCAGGCCGCCATCCATCCTGAAATATTGAAAGCATTTGCGAGTATGAATAGTCAAACAGCGAACCTTTCCATAACACACGAAAAGCCTAATCTCACACGAGTGGAACGTGAAGCGTTAAACTTACTTAAGAAAGACGATAGCATTGTTATTAAAAAGAGTGACAAAGGTTCATGTTGTGTCATCCTGAATAGGGAGAATTGCGTTTCAGAAGCAGAGAATCAACTGAATAATCCTAAACATTATGCCATTTTACCAAAACCAATTTTCAAAGAAACTACTAACATGATTAACAATATTCTTGCCGATTTAGTCAAATCTAGTTATCTCAAATAGAAACAATATGACTATCTGCCTGACAAACCTGATTGTCGCGAGAGACATTTGTATACTTCTCTAAAATCCATAAGAATCCAACCAAGGAGTGGTTTATCTCGAATAAAATCCCTAAAGGCCGCCCGATTATATCTGACTGTGGTAGTGAGCAGTGTCAGAATACATTAGTAGTATATGAGCTTTCAATTAGGTCGCATAAGGGGATTCCCCATTCCATTTCATTTCATGGGAAAAATGCGACCAAAATGAAAGCTCCCATAAAGACCTCAACATCCTACATTTCATAAATTCTTACACTAAAAAAGACCTAAATTCCCTACATTTCATAAATTCTTACAGCAAAAGACCCTACATTTCATACACCAAAAACACCTTGAATCAATTTCCTACATTCCATCAAAAAAAGCATATTGAAATAATGTAGATGGGAGATAACTCTTTTTGGATAAAAAACAGACTAAATTAACTCATTTAAAAATAGGATGAGTTTAATTCTAAAACACGAACAACACAGATTCGAAGATTATTCGGGCGACGGTATCTTTTCTTCATTATTTTCTCTAGGTAAAACAATAATTCCAAAAGTAGCTAGCTTTGTTTCAAAAAACACATCACTCAAGCGGAGCGAAAGCCATCGGATCAATCGCGGAAGCTGGAAAGAGTATAAGCGATACAGTGAAACAATCTGACGAGTTGAAAGAATTAGAACTAATAAGAGAACTTCGAAACAGGAGATTAGAAGAAAGGAAAGGAAAAGGTTTTAAAGTTATAGGATAAAAATGATTGTCGCTCACGCTCCAAAAACTTATTTCGGTTCAGGAGATATACAAAAATCATTGGGTTCTCTTCCTGGATTTCCATGGGCGAAATATCCCGGAGAAAAACATCTCCCAGGGCACAATTACACCGGTCCAGGCACTAGGTTAGATCTACGATTAGACGAAAACGATAAACCCAAACTAGGGGAAGAAACAGTCAATAGAGTTGACGCCGCTGCGCTCAAACATGATATTTTATACAGAAACAAAGACATAAAGTTTAGACACGAAGCAGACAAACAAATGATAACCGAACTTGAAAATATTCCAAATCCAACTTTCAAAGAGAGAATGGAAAGAGCATTAATCATTAAACTGTTAAAAGCAAAGATGAAATTAGGTATGGGATTGGCGGATGAAATTCATAAAGAATTTAGAAAAACTAAAAACTTTTTAAAAGTCAAAGTGTTTGAAAAAGATGAAATATGGTCAGCCGATTTAATTCATATGCCAGTCGAAAGAGGATTTAAATATTGCTTAACAGTTATAGATTTATATACGAGATAAGTAGTATATGTCTTTTCGGATATGACGCATTTCACTTCTGCGCATGCGCAGCTTTTTCAATGCGTCATATCCGAAAAGACACAACTGTTAAAATGTATTATAACAGACTCCCGAAACTGTTAAAATGTATTATAACAGTCTCCCCAAACTGTATTATAACAGACTCCTCCAAACTGTATTATAACAAACTCCCCTATTATAAATTACCCAAACCACAGATCACTAATAATAATACAGTAAAAAATAAACGCATTAAAAATGTCTTTAATTTTAAAACACGAACAAAAAAAATTCGAAGGAGACGGTTTCTTCTCTGCGCTAACATCTCTCATCCCCAAAGTGGCCAATTTTGTCTCAAACAACAAATTTCCTCAGGAGTAGATATAAGCGATGCAGTGAAAAGATCTAACGAGTTGAAAGAATTACAACATATAAGAGAAATGCGAAATAAAAATTATTGGATAAAAACCTCAACTGATTAATGGGAGGTAACACTGTTTATACACAGTTAGTTGTCTAGAGTATTATTGATTTAACACCTAGTAACAGTCACGCTATAATTAACATATCACGCGTGCAACATCAGCACAGACAGTCTAGACTCTCAACTGTTAGCCATGTTTTTGTTGATGATTAGGAATTTAATCATACAAAAATCAAGGTATGTTCTTTTTTTGTTTGATTTAATCATAAGACGACAGGGTGGAATTAAGATTAATTTGCTGTTTTTTCAAAATATCAATTTTTGTTTTATTCCAGTCACAAGTTTTATTAGATGCCAACATTTCATATCACGAAGAATATTTAAACCATCGGTAAGGGGATAGAAAAAGGCCAAGAATTTTTACCAACCTCTATGACAAATATCCAAGGTTTCAAAATTGTTGATTTTCGAAAATAGAACAAGTGGTGAAGAACAAAAGGATGACGCATATCTAGCGATCCTAATAAGAGCGCTCGTGACCTTTAAATTATGACTGCCAATAGTGTAAGACGGGAGATAACTATGACCGCTCTTATTAGGATCGTTCGTGACCTCATTTTTCAAACTACTCTTATATGACCGCTCTTATTAGGATCGCTCGTGACATTTCATAAAGTGATTCATTTCTATCGCTTTCTCCTTGTATTAAATCTTTCGTATTAAAAATATATGTTGAACAAATATGTCTTTAATCTCATCCTCCTAAAACGTATTTCGGTGCGGGAGACATTCAAAAGTCATTGGGTTCTCTTCCTGGATTCCCATGGGCAAAATATCCCGGAGAAAAACATCTCCCAGGCCACAATTATACAGGTCCAGGCACTAGGTTAGATCTGCGTTTAGACGAAAATGATATTCCCAAACCAGGGGAAGAACCCGTTAATAGAGTTGACGCAGCAGCACTCAAACACGACATACTGTACAGAAACAAAGACGTAACATTCAGACACCAAGCAGACAAACAAATGATAGACGAACTCGAAAATATTCCCAATCCCACTTTCAAAGAGAAATTACAAAGGGCTCTTATCATAAAACTCTGAAGGCAAAATTGAAATTGGGTAT